ATGCAAGCATTTCAATACAACAAACATATAGGGAGCAATTTGCACGAGATGAACTGAGAAAGATTAAAGAAATGGAAGAAAAGCAACGGTTAGAAATGGAGAAAGAAAAGCAAGGAAAACTGGAAGAACAAAAATTGGAACAACAACGCATCGAGTAATAATTATATTTTTTATAGTACAAAACATGCTTCGAAATTATTTTCGAAGAAGTAAGAAATGTTTCATATGTATTTAAAATTCGAAATTTTTAAAGGAGAATGAAAATTGAAGAACAAAGAAAACAGGAAGAGGAGGAATACCGTCAACAACAAGAAATCTTGAGATCTCAAAATGAGTATGAAGAAGCAATCAAACGTCAACGGTAAATATCCTGATAAAAAAATTGTTTTAGTTGTTGGACCTCGTCGGGTTGTTTTTTGGCTAGTTTTTTAGATTCAAGGATTAGTGTAATTCAAACCGAGATAATAAAATTCTATTTATTTACATATTTGCAGTTTTAATTTAGAAATGAAGAACTGAAACAAGAGGAACTGGATGGGGAAATTGCAAGAAGACTAGCAAGAGAAGACTCTACTTTACAAATGGTGGAAAATAATGCCTCGTAAGATTGCACATCTTTGAAAGTTGTTTTTTAATAAAATTCTATTTTTTTACACAGCGCGCTGATTTTTTAAAAGTAGTATTGTAGGATATATTTTTTGATATATAAAACTACATGATATTAATAGCATAAGGAGATATCGTCATCGTGATAACTGATGCAGATTGAATGGGTTTGTAAGATCAGGGAATCAAGAACTTATTCTAGTATTTGTTTTGACTTAACAAACCGTTTTCAGAATCAAAACAAATATTAGAAAAAGTTCTTGATCACTTTTGATATGAAAAATTTGTGTAAATCTAATTATGTGGAAAATGAAATTCAAGATGAAGAATTTGAAGGAAAGCAAACACCTGGAGGATTATTGTTAAAGTGAAATAAAATGAGAACAGAAGCTGATCTGAAATACAAAAAGCTTTCCAATAAAATTTAACAAGTTTTTAGCAAGAAAGAGAAAAGTATTGGCACTTCTAAATGTGATCTGACAAAGTACAGATATGTCGAGCTTCGCGATATCATCAATACTTCTACTGGTATTGCATTTATTCACGGCTTAATTTTATTGCAATTTTTTGTATTGACTTTAAGAAAAAAATTTCATTCAGTTAATTTTGTTTGATTAAGCTGTCGAGCATGTGAACAAAGTGAAATATTGCCATTCATCGCTTGACATTTTAAACATAATTCACATTTTAATGTTCATTCGCCACTTCATTCATTTAGATACGCAAGAAAGTTGTAACTTTTCCAGTTGTTTCTTCTTTCATCTCGTTATCCCAAATTATAACATGCATTGACAAGGGAAGAAATCATGTAAAAAAAATTTCTCAGCTGACATTATCAACTAATGAATTTTTCCAGATACGGATTTATTGCATGCTTGCAAAGAAGAATTCCATAGGCGTTTACAAATTTATCAGCAGTGGAAAGAGCTAAATGAGAACAGTATCATTCAGCGACAGACAAGTCGTATACCGATGGCAGCACTTTCTTCAAGTAAGATAGACAAAATAGCCGCTTAATCTTCCTTTGATTTAGTTTCGGTGAATAATGGGGTTAGCTATCATGATAGTTTCTGAAGAAAATGTAATATTTTTCTTTTTTGAATTTAATTTTTAATAAAAGAGCAGCTATGGTGACTGGTTCAAGTTTATCAGCAGTGGAAAGAGCTAAATGAGAACAGTATCATTCAGCGACAGACAAGTCATAAAAAGACGAAACTGAAACAGTAGTTCAGCATGCTTACTCATGTCTGCTTTACTCCTTAAAAAATTATTTCATTCTGTGTTAGCATGTTTTTGAGCAAAAATTGACTTAGCACATTAAATAATTCAGTGATAAAGCTCTTTTGCATATCGGATATCTTGAATACTCCTACACTAAGAATAAACTAAAATATTCCCATATTTTAGGCAGCAAAGGTTTCTCTTCGCATTTCTCGCAGAATAATATCACTCTTCAACGATATTTCAAAGTACCCTTCGCAAAACCTGCTCACAGACATATGAATATGCACGGTACGTTCAAAGTCATATATGTCTTATCTTGAAGTCTTCATTTTTAAATTTAAATTATGTATGCCACAATAAGTAAGCAATTTCATAAGATTAATGATTAGCTCAATAACTATGATATTTTGTAAGGGTTTTACAGAGCAATATTTGCTTATGCAACAACTAATAATGAGTAAGAGAACCCATGTTAGCTCATTAAAGTATGCTAATGATAAATTTCGAGGAATGTATTTGTTGTTGCAGATATAACGGAAGTAGCAACTTCACATGGTATGTGGTATGCCCACTTCGATGGACAATGGATTGCCCGTCAGATGGAGTTACATCCGAATAAAAAACCTGTATTGCTTTTAGCTGGTAAGTATCCTAAATTCACTTTTCCTCTCATTCCCGTATCAATATATAAACATAGAAATAAATATGCAATACATGATGTGGTTCATGGGGAGTAATGAAATTATTCTTTATTATACTTCACTGCTCATTGACAATTGCCGATAAAAATAAAAAAAAATCTAAAACCCCATACAACTCCATTATTCGCTTCATTTAAGGTCGAGATGATTTGGAAATGTGTGAGCTGTCTCTTGATGCAACACAGTTGACAAGAAAAAAAGGTGCGGAGATAACAGCCGTTGAATTTGAAACACTGTGGTATCAGTGCGGTGGGTCGGAATATCGTATGCGTTCTCAACATGAAAAAAACTGACATGTCATATTGCATATGTGAATGCTATGTTATGCAATTGAGCTCAAGAATTTGTAAAGTTTATAAATCAAATTTATTAAGGTTATAAACTAGATTTTTCAATCTGCGTTGAAAACTAACAGTAATGAAATGTGAAAACCAGAATGATATTCGAAGGTACAATTTGGCTGTTAATCCTCTTTACCCTTCTCTCTCAAGCATGTTACCGCGGATCATTAGCACAAAGCCTCATTAATAAGGCAAACTGTTGAGAAGGGGCGAACTGTTTGCTCTCTACTAGAAAAAACTATCAGGTCCCGAATTACAGCGACGCAGTTTACACCTTTCCTACTGTTTATTTGCCTTAGCTTTACTTTATTTCATTAGGTGTAGTTTCAATCCTTTACATTTTCTTCGCCTTCTGCCTTATTGTATGTACACTCCTTCATCATGTCTATTGACTCTAATTAGCATCGAACTGAGATGTCTTCACTAAGCTAATATATCTATCAATTTGATTTTTTTTTGTTTCGAAAAATCCAGTCTTGTTAAAGATAAAATTTAAAATTTATGCGGTTCACACTGATCAAGATGTATAATTTCATTCATGAACAAAAACTGCAGCATGGAAAAAACGAGTCATATATATAGCGGACATAAATGTAAGATAAAAGATCTAGTTTTTATCAATGCTATTTAGCCGTGCGATAAGCTGACGTATGCGTTTCCTTTCTTCATCTGCTTCTGCGCCTAAATTAATTTCATACTCTTCAAGAACCTGAAAACATGAATTATGAAAAACAGCTGGATACATTCCTAAATGACAACGGTAATATTATTTCACCGACTGAAACATAGGGTGTAGCTTTGCTTAGTTAGAAAAATATATTCGTTGAGTAATAAATGGTATTTCGTGCAATTATCGTCTTAAAAGTTTACGATCCGACGGAGAAATCTAGATTAGAAATTTCAAAAGCATGAATTAATACGCCTAATAAAATAACATTTTAACTAAAAATCAAATAAAAAAAGGTAGAAATATATCTACAAAAGAAAAGAGGAGGAAAAGCAAACAAAAATAATAAGCATATTAATTAAAACAATTTCTGAAAATAATCATGAAAGAAAATAAAATGAATGCAATTAAAATAATAATGAAGTAAAAATATTAGTAAACAAACCGGTACAAGATGTTTGCTAAGTTTTCCATTTCCAGTGCGCATTTGGAACAGCTTTACAGCTCGGTTACGACAGCCAAGCATTGCATTTGCGCATACATCCGCAAGAATTAAAATGATACGTTGCAATGTGTACAAACCAGCATCCAATTTATCCAGATACAACTGTTCAATTTCATCATCAGATAATTTGCTGTTCTGTGTCAAATTAGCTTGACGGGCATCAAATCGGTCCACACGTTCCCTAAATATTGTTTTAATCACTCGATATAAATATCAATAAATGTTTTCCTTAAAATATCCATAGATATGTTTATTTATAATATTTAGGGGACTGTAAAATTCTAAACAGAGTGAAAACCAGAGTTACAAATAAAATATGCACTAATTCAAACTATTTTGGAGTATTTAATTTTTACATTTACTATATAGTTTTTTTTCCTATTTAAATTTATTACATAACAGAGTTTCTCTTTTTATTTCACTCTTTCTGTTCAGATATTCTATCTTTAAAATTTTAAAAAGCAGTAATTCACAACGGAAGAAAATCGCCTTTTCCTGCATAAACAAGATTGACTTCAGAAGTAAAACTTACTGATATTTTAAAACGAGTTCAACTGCACGGTCGACTTTTTCATATTCGTGTTCGCTAAATTTCGAAAAAATCCGATTACGCCCTTCTTCACCACAAGATCTCAGTAAAGATGCCAAAACCTACAAAATTTTACATTGTTTTTTTTGCGCTAACAAATCGATAAATATATACAGAGCCATAACAACAGCAAATTATTCATTACAATTTGGATCATAAAAAGAATATGATATTTTACCGAACAAACATGCTCTTCATGTTCATCTGGTGTTGAATCCTTTCTTTTCTGCTTTGATGGAGTTCTCATAAACAGCGGAAAAATTGTTCGCAAACCTGAAAATACTTTTCTAAAAGCTTTGAAGAAAAACATATAACAAGGAAGGAAACTCAGGAAGTACGACTGATCACGACTACAAAAGAATTATTAACCAGTGCAGACCATTTACCACTTTTTTAAAATCTACTGCAAATTAATTGCTATTATTAACAAATCTCAAAGGTTCACCAAGAATATCGATGAATTTGGCACAATTGGATTTTCCTTCTGCACCATTTGTGGCGTAATCTAAAACCTTTAGTGCACTTTCACGTGACTGCTTGCGTTCCCTAAAGAACACTGGAGATTTTCGAAGATATAGGTAAGAAGCAAATACATGAAAATGAAAATTTGCGCAAAAAATCTAATAAAAAAGTATTGAGAATTATAAAGACATAAATCAGTTACCTCAGCATAAGATTCATTAACTGAAGGCCTTCACCGTCCAGAAATTTCTGTCTGTTTGGTGCATACATAAGCGCGGCGCATACAGCATTGAACAAGTTCTCCATATGTTCCCGTTCATCTGCACTCCCTGGATCATGACGCTTGTAAGTGGCCAAAGCCTAAAGCGTATTAAATTGCACCAAAAGAATCCAAGAATTCTTCATATATAGAAAAACCAACAAAGAACCTTGATCCATGAGATGTATCTTTGAATTTCCAACATTTTGAAACCATGGTTTAATAAAAACATACACGAAGCAGCAAATCGAAGCCATCAACTTTTTCTGTTAATCGTTTTCTAGCTAATTCGGTTGATTGCAGAAGTAAAGAAAGCAATTCACTAGCAAACATCTTATTCGCATCTAAAGCTCCTCGTTGAGTTCCACGACGAAGAAGCCAAGCAAACAAACCCTGTTCGACACAAATATCAGCAAATGATGGCCGGAAATCGAGCACCTGCAAAAAGAAAAGAATTTTGATTCTGTAGTAGTAAGGAGAATTAGTTTTGGGGTGCTTAATTATTCAAAATTATAGCTGTTTATTGCAGTCACAACATTTTTAATATATAAATACTGAATGTATGTCAAATACTAAGTTCTTTTTCTATTAAAATTGCGAGATCCTTCAGAATCAATAACTATCACACCATTTTAGCAAATTGCTACCTTGAATTATCTGTCTATAATCTTCCGAAGACTAAATAATACCTTGATTCGAAAAGGCATTGACCTGAAAATGATAACAAATTTTCTAGAAATTTACATTTTCTACAACCGATAATGCATTATGGATTGCATCAGCTTCGTCTTTTATAGTTTCATCCAAACGCTCAATACTTTGCTGTACTAATGTTTCAATTAACTGATCAGCAACTAATACATCAATTAGTTTCGCAGCGCCACCTTCACCTTCATTCAGTGTATCAACATCTGTTAATTCCTTCAAATAAAAAATTGACAAAATTTCGGAAGTAGTTAAAAACTTATTTTGCTCACTAAAATCCCTCAAGTAGTTGCCGATATTTGATTTGTAATAAAACAGGAAAAACACTTCTCGGTTATAAAAACGTTTAAATTCGGAAATCCAATGAACTTAATCTCGATTATTTTGGTATCACGTACCGCTCTAATTTATTGTACCAATTAAAATTCTCTATATATTTGGTGCAACAGTTTAAAGAAACCTGTAAAAGATTGATGACAGCGGCAACAATGTCAGAGTTTTCGTGAGCTAATAACTGTAAAAGAGTAGCCGTTGCGCCATGATCAAGAAGCAATTCATATAAATCAGGCTGCGTTGCTAATGCGTGCATCTCCTCAAACAGCGGCACATAATTCATATCCAATATAAGAAAAAAGTGCAACAAAAAGAGATACGAACCTGTACTGCTTCATTTAATTCAACTTCGCTTTCCATGAACTTCGCTGGTTCATCACCGTATTTGATGCGCATCTCTCGATTTTTCAAACATCGTTTCTCTAGCTAAAAAGCTTAAAAATGTTAAAATGCCAAACAGTTAGTGCTATAAAATAATCTCTACTAAGGGAAATAACATTTGCAGTGCCCATGTACAATCGACCTGCATAACAATTCGTTTAACAGCTGCTTCATCAACAACCATTGCTTGCGATTCATCTTTTTCCAATGCAGCCAGGATATCCTCTGGTGTGGTGGTTGCCGTAGATATATTGGCAATGTCAATACGAGCTCGCTTCGATTGCACCTTAAAATTGTTGCCAGTCATCACACAGAATCCAAGATATCTTAGTTCAATATTTTAAAAGTTTGGTGGGAAAATGAAAATCCTTAAAATGTGAAAAAAATCCTATTACCTCGGATGATGTTCGCAGAATCTCTGTTACATCGATTGAAGACATTCTGCCACAAAAAAAACAGATTTATAGATGTATATACACATATATTTAAATCAGGTCCTTGAAGTTCGCACAACTTCTTTTCATTAATCTAAGTATCTGGCAAACGAAGCACCACCGAATTCTTTTACATTAGCAGAAAAATATCTCAACTATAGTTGCGCAGATTATCTTCGCCCATCTGAGCTGTTCTTTTTTTGATGCACAGTTCTTTTTAACATTCAAATATAGTTAACATTCAAATATTCAAAGTCATAATAACGAAGTAATCGTAATAAAACTTGCACAGTTCTGAGAAAAAGTAACAAATCATTTATTTATCACAGCTAATAATTAATAATTTGGAGCATAGTGATATATTATGTTACATATAAAGAGATCGGGAATAATATACGAACTTTTAGATACCAATAAATTAAGGATCTCATATTTTATGCTAATATTCCCTGATAAAAAATTAGAATCACAACTGACCATAACAAGGACAAAGACATAATCTGAAACTACGTCTAAAAATCTCTTAGTTGTTTCTGTTACATTTAATCTCTTTTCATCTCGACATTTCCTGAGCGCATCTCCTAAAAACCTTAAAACTGAGCAAATAGTACTTTAAAAAGAAATTCTGAATCTTAAGAAGCCACATTCAACATTTCAGCGATTAAATGGCTAATTTTTACAAAGTACTGTTCATCACCAGTAATATTCCACTTTGTTTCTGAAAGTAAATTCAACAATTCTAGGCGTTTATTTCTTTCCATTTCATTGTTGCTATCACATTCGGAGGCCAAGCATTCATAAAGTTGCTCCGCTGTATTACGACGCATTATGGGATAACGAGATCGCAAAGTGCGGACAACCTGCAGTGCATTAATTAAATAACTCTCAAACACTAGAGAACTATGTTTATGGCAAGCAAACTCGAGTTCGAGTAAAATCTGTCTAAAAACCGCGAAAGATTGATCAATTAAAGTAAATTAAAGTCTACAATAAAAATACTAAACTTAATAACATTAGATTAGGAAAGGAACTTGCCAATGACGCAGATTTTTGCCAAACTAAACTAGATGAATTGAAATGTAAGAAATGGCATAAAACTGAAATACATATCTTGACTTTCTGTGCACTTCCTTTAACTGTTGCCTCCTGAAAAATTCATATTTCGCAAACAAATTCAAGTGCTATTATAAAGCACCGAACGCAGCACAAATTTCTCATGATCCATAGCTTTGTAAATCTAAGAACCAGCAAGATTTGTCGTGTTGCTAGATTGATTAATAAGCTTCCAATCTATTAAACTAATCAGTTCAGCAATGCTGAACGAAATATAAATCAAATAATTGTTAATAAAGAAATATTCCACAACATCTTAATGTCTAATGTAATCATCCCTGAGAAAACGTCTGATTTAAATACAAGTAATCATTAAAAATTTATAAGATAAGCGCATACGATCGCGACGCGATCCACAATTTTCCGAAGAGACGGTGAAGAATCTGGATCTGCCTCAAAACATTCCAGAAGCTGTGCTGATAAAATCTGGTCCAGTGTACGAAGCAGAGGTTGAGTTATACGCACTATGCCAGCATTATTGATTAAGATGGATGCAAAACATTGCAGAAAATTTTCTAATTCCTAAAAATTTGAAAGATTATTTGCTTCTTAATATAAATATTTGGTTAACGTACCTATGTTTCTTTAAAAACTGCACAACACAGCTGTTAATAACGCTAATTCGTCACATTCTGTTATTAACTAACTTGTCGTGATTCGCGCATATCAGAAATCACCGAAAGCAAAGCATCAGATGCGCCTCGCATCGTAGATTCCGTAACACCGCCTAAATTTCAAAAAAATAGAGAGAACAGTCTTATGAAAATTCTGAAATAAAAGAAATAAGATCTAACAATAACAGTACTCTAATCTAGTTCAAATATTTACCAGCAGATATAATAAATCCATTTAAGGCAGAATATCGGTAGTAAGAACTTTTCAACAGCAAAGCTAATCGTTTGAAACAAGATGACAATCTCCAGTCCATATTCAAACCATTAACCAAATAAATTTCCCTTAGAATTTCTTCTTCTTGAATATTCTTTAGTCCTGATTTCAAGATCCTCTTCATCACCAATGCAGCACACTAGAAAGATGAATAGATTGAGGAAAATACAAATTTTTTTTTGGAAATTCGAATTATGAATCCTCGTTGTAAACAATGGTGATATTTTTCTTTTAACATATATATATATATACCGCTGCATGATGTGTAAAACTTTGTGTATTATATAAAAACTACCTCACGAGTTGCATCAATTTTCTCGATAGATTGCTGAATTATTTTAAAGACTGCTTCGGAAATACGATCAGCAACTTTCGAGCAATTTTGTGCCAGAGGTAAAATAACTGCAAGTGCCCTCATCGCTTCCTCGCGCAGAACTCTTCCAACATCACCCCTTTTGTCCATTGTATAATCGTCCAAACAATTAATGAGACTAGAACACTATTATTACGATAAGAATAGAGACAGAAAACCGTGCTATATATATATATATATATATATATATATAAGCATTATAAAAAACATTATAGTAAATGTGCTAAGAAAATTTACAAAATCGAAATATAATGACAAACCAATCAAGAAGTTCAGCACTGTCGCCCAACGATTCAAGTCCAACTGAATCAACAATGCGTGTAATAGCTTCCACACAGGAACGTCGTCCATAAGCCCAGGTTGCATCCAATGCACTAGATCTAGAAAGCGTGCATTGCAACCACCCTACTTACTACTTTTTTGTTTTTCAAAATACAGTTAAGCTTAACAGAAAATCATATTAATTTGAAAGAGAAAATTTTGCATAGTAAAGACAAAAATGCTCACCCATTGATTATAAGCATAAGTGTTCGAATTATTTCAGCAGCGAAAGGTTCAGATGATGTTGAAATCAATAATATTTCACTTGGAATGACACTCAAAAGAGCTGCTATCCCTTCTCTATCTGATT